ATGTATGCATGAGTGAGTACAGGTCTATGTATGCATGAGTGAGTACAGGTCTATGTATACATGAGTGAGTACAGGTCTATGGATGCATGAGTGAGTACAGGTCTATGTATGCATGAGTGAGTACAGGTCTATGTATACATGAGTGAGTACAGGTCTATGGATGCATGAGTGAGTACAGGTCTAGTCTCACAGCTCTTGTCCGTCCACACATGCAGCTCCTGGGCCAGCTCAGGTATCACCAGGAACGTCCTCCAGCCCTGGCGCTTCTTGGATTTGAGGATGTCACCGAAAATGTGGTCTCCAATGTAGATGATGTCCTTTCCTTTAGCGCCCAGCAAGTCGCACACGATGTCAGAGGAACCTGGGATTACAAAAAAAGCTTTCATTTCATCCCCACTATGAAAAGCTGTAGAAGCAATAATCAATGATGCTTTTATATAAAAGTAGCAATTACAGCTGAGATTCAACCCCACACAAGGTGTTACATCTCAGGCTTGTGCTACTGCTGCTGCCCACATTTCATTTTGCTAATGTTTCCATGAGTCAGCACATCAGCTCTGTTACTCCCATGTTGCACAATGTACTTATTCATGGCATCCTTCTTCTTCTCTTTCTTAAAGTGAATATTTCTGACCATATAAGGCAAGGCAAGTTTATTTGTATAGCACATTTCAACAACAAGGTAATTCAAAGTGCTTCACATAAAACCATTAAAACCATCAAAACATAAGGCAATTGAAAAGGAGATTTAAAAACAATTAAGAACATTCATTGAAACAATAAAAACAGTGTAAGAAACAAAATACAGTAGTAAAATGCAGAAATGAAGGAAATTGATTAATATATCAATTGAATCTGGTTCAATTAAAGGCAGCAGCAAACAGAAAAGTCTTCAGTCTTGATTTAAAGGAGCTGAGGGTCTCAGCAGACCTGCAGCTTTCTGGACTTTGTTCCAGATATGTGGAGCAGAAAAACTGAACGCTGCTTCTCCATGTTTAGTTCTGACTCTGGGAACAGAAAGTAGACCGGTCCCAGACGACCTAAGCGGTCGGGATGGTTCATAAGGTAGCAGCAGATCAGAGATGTGTTTTGGCCCTAAACCATTCAGTGCTTTGTAAACCAACAGCAGGATTTTAAAGTCAATTCTTTGTTTGACAGGAAGCCAGTGCAAAGACCTCAGAACTGGAGTGATGTGATCCACCCTCCTGGTCTTAGTGAGGACTCGATATAAGATATACAGATGCTGATGTAAACAAATCAGCATCCAGAACTGTTCCCTCTGTGTCCCCGTTAGAAGCATGTACTGTAATGAGTCTGTATGAATCACAGTCAGCTACTGTGAGATGCATGTGCAATCAGCAGATATGACATTAGGACACACATTGAGTGTTTGTGTGAATATTTCAATTCTTAAAGCAAGTCAAGGGAATTAAAACAACAACCAGCTGTGTTAAGAGGGTTCCTTATTTACCTCCAGAGTAGACGATGCCATGCTGGAGAGGTCCCGTGTACGTGCCGATCTTCAGCCGACCTGTGGTCTGAAAGAAAGCAGGGTTACCAGGGTTACGCTGGTCTATTCACTGCCACCATTGTCATCTGATCATGCCCAGACGCACTAACTGTCAGGTCTGTGCGCTTTCAGATGGGATCATCCAGACCACATGGAGAGGTGGGCTGGATAGGGTTGAGTTTGGATCTCAGTGAGTTGTGAACAGCATGTGAACACAATCCAGACTCCGAATCTGTAAGACTCTTTTCTCATCACTCAGTGTATCTGCTCTTAACCATTTGCAGGTAATCCAAAACGCTGCCGCCAGATTACTCACCAGGACAAACCCACGGTCTCACATCACTCCCGTACTCAGATCTCTCCACTGGCTACCTGTAGCATTTAGGATACACTTCAAAATTCTCACTCTCACTTACAGAGCACTACATGGTCAGGCTCCCACATATGTAGCTGATTTACTTCACCCGCCCGCGCTCTCAGGTCAGACGTGTTAGGTCTTCTGTCTGTCCCACGCACTCGCCTTAAGACCCGTGGTGACCAAGCCTTTGAGGCAGTAGCACCGAGGCTGTGGAATGATCTGCCTGCACATCTACGCTTTGCAGATTCTGTGAATTCATTCCAGAATCAGCTCAAGGCACATCTGTTTAGACTGGCGTTTGACTAAAAGCTCATGTCCCAGGCCAGCTTTTAAACCATGTTTTAATTTTGTACTTTCAGTGTGTATGTAAATTATTGGCCCTTATATGGTCACATTGTGTTTGTTATGTCTCTAATCCTGCCCTGTTAAGCACTATGTGACTTATGTCTGTATAAAGCTCTTTATAAATAAATCTTACTTACTAATCAAACATAGGTCTCCATCATGTTGGAGCACAGCTGAGACCTGCTGTCTGAGTCGGTTAAGTTACTGATGATGGAAGCACAACATTTCATGATTCTGCTACAAAAAGCTTTGAAACAACAAAAATATCCAATAAAGCAATGAAAGAAGCCAACTAACAGTGCAGCGAGGAGGAGTAAGCAGCAACAATAAGGGGCTGCTTTCACTGACAACAACTTAAATTGTTTATCCGCCATTTTAACGCCGCTGCTTTGCCCACTAAATATATCCGATCATTATTTGATTTTAGTAATGTGTTAGTACAGTATGGTATTTTGTCCATGCAGGCTCCTGTAGTACACACTCACAGTGTCCACTTGCCGCAGCACTGTTCCCTCTCCAAAGAACACAGGCTTGCGAGCGTCCACCAAGATCAGGTCAAAGTAGGACTTCCAGGGCCGGTGGGGTGAACCCGGCTGTGATAAATACACACACACACACACCATCTATGAGGTCAATGGTTCTTAAGTCAACCATGGTTGTACAGTAACACGTCTCCTCATCTCATTTGTGATAATTGAGAGCTGCTGTTTCTTATTGTTTGGATCATCAGACCACATCTGCTCCACTTTGATTCAAATCTATTAAGATTCCTGACGGTACAACTGTTATTAAATCATTGTTACCTTTGGGCCGTGAGGAAAGTCAAAGAGGTAGGTCATGATTTTCTGGAAGAAGACAAGAGAGCTTTCTATTAGATTTGTCTTAACATGCTGGCCCAGAACAATACAGAACAAAGGGAAACTCTATTCCATCGTTAACATCCCGACCATTAGAACTGTATAACCATTCATGCAGCAGTGAAAATGGCTACATTGTGACAGTGTAGGCCGTCTGAGTGGACCTTCCTCTCACCTCTGTGTATCTGTAATCACTGTTGGTGGCCAGAAACACTTTGGCTACTTCGTTCATGCGACTGAGGAGGAGAGGAAGCTTTGACTTGGTGGAGGAGAAACAGAAGCAACATCAACAACGCAGAACAGACTGAACGAGCTACATTACCTTGTTTCACCATGACAGAGTAATACAGTACTTGTTGTCACTATAAAGCAGCAGTACTTACATCCTTTACAACATACTTCTCCAGGTTTTCAACAGTCTTCTCTTTTAAGGACCCCTGAGAGGAGAAACAACAGAGCACTGATGGCTGTGACCGGATTTGACGACAGATGACGGCCAACAGCTGGACGCTTTCATTGTGGAAAATAAATGATTCTACCTTGAAGTGAACCCAGTCCACGCCGTCTCTGACATCCTGGAACACGCTCTTATAGGACATGAAGAGGTCGCCATTTTTGAAGCCGTTCTCACAACTACAGAGACAGTTAAATGGTGTTACCATTGGATCCTGCCTGACATGCAATTCTGAGAGTCAAACACGATAAGGGCTGTGGTGACGCTTGTCTTTTCAACGCAACCTTTGTCATTGATCGTGAGACGCATGAACTGAACAAGTCTGTATGCTGCCAGGGCTTTTGATACTTCAAAATAAAAGCTTTTCAATAACAAAATAACAGGGGGCATTTATGTGAAGGATTCATAGGAAATTTGATGTGTTTATCCGCTTCTTGTATCCGATCACTATTTGATCAGGCAGTTTCCATTGAAGTGTCAAGTGCGGACACACAGGTGGACACAGCTGTGTTCTGGTGCATTCACAGAAAAGTCACATTGAAAAGACAAGAGTAACTACGACCAAGGACTCAGTGTTTCCTCAAGACAGACAGCGTTCTGTATGCGAGTGTGCAGTACCTCGAGTATCGGGAGCAGTTACTGAAGAAATCAACCAGGCAAGCAAAGAGGTAGGTTTCTGAGGAAGAAGAAATAGGACTAGAGTCAGTGAGACTGAACATGAACATGTTTACAACATGACAGTTCATCCCCATTCAGAGCCAGTGAACTCCAGTTGAAGCACCATTCCTCTTCTTTCATCGGTGTACCTATGTGTACCTTTAGTCTGGGAAGCAGGGGTATGAGATGTGCCTCTCTGCTAAACTTTATACAAAGACTTATCTAACATTGACACGTTCACGTCATCAAGAGGGTTGTATGACTGACAAAATAACAGCATACCCATCACATCTAGGTGCAATAGCTGTGATGGGTATCAGTCTTTGGCTGATGGGAGGCATCCACATTAGTTTTGGATTCAAACACTTCCGTATTAGTCAGCACCAAGTCAGATATATTGGAACTTTCAGAAAAATCCCAGCCATAGCCATAGCCAACCCTTGGCAAAGCCCAGCTGCTACTCTGTCAAGCAGTCCAAGCTACCATAGAGCTCACACTGCCACTAACTGCACTCCCTCAATACACTATTCATTATGTCAACAGTCATTCTGACAATAAGTATTCATTGACATCCCTTTATTTTATGACTAAATTGTAACAACTAACACAGACAAACGAAATGAGGGTGAAATGTCTTTAAGCCCATACGAGTAAAGACGAGACCACATAGTTGGCTTTGTTTTGGGCAGACGAGGGATAGTACTTTAGATTAGTATTATTTACCCTCTTTAACTGAACATTAACCATTAACAAAGAAGATTCAAATGTACTTTCATAATGGATGATGTTCTGTGACCTGACAAAATATAACAAATTATTAGCTAAAAAATAATTGATAGGCATGAGCGCTTGACCTTTGTGTTTCCTCAGCGGTCTCCTTGACTTCAGACTGCATCTCACAGGGTCTACTCGCCCTCATTGTCACACCTGCTTGGTAGTGAATATCATACTATTTGTAGAAGTAGTTCCACTTATAAAATGGTTACAGACTCGTATGATCCAAACATTTCAATAACTCAAGTCAAAATTTCAAAATGTATTGAAAAAGAGAGATTTAATCATTTCCAAAATTCGCAAGATATCAAACTAAATATTCAGCTTGAATCCATATATCTGTTGGCATTGAGCCTTTCAAAAACATTTTCACTGGGTTTACTTTTAAACCAGTTTGCTCTCCTGTAGAGCTGGACCGTGAATGACTCCCATTTCACATAAACGCGGCATAAGCAACAGGTAACAATGTTGAACTCTGTCTATTGAAACTGAAAGGATAGAACACTGGCTTTTGAGTACCCGTTCACACAGACATTGCACAAATAAAATAACAGAGTACGAACATCGTCAGTCAATACCAACAACACCAATGTAGAGACTAGAGCCTAATGATGCATTGATTATTCAGACTAATTATCACAGGCCAAGTCATAAAAGTAGCCTGAAGCCTGCTGGTAACAATGTCTCAGCTGATTCACGTCATATACATCAAATACCTTAAAAGCTTAAATGCATGACTATACCATGTTCTAATACATTAATAATTAAATTTCATTCTAAGCCTACCAAAAGCTGTGGCGTGTTGATGTGTTTTCTTACCGGGCAGGTTGAAGAGCGTGTTGAGGATGTAGAAGCGCTCCGTGTCTCCACGCTGAATAAACTTGTTGGGGTACATGTCTCTGATGTCAGGTCTTTGCAGAGTGAGCCAGGAAGGTAACAAACCAGGAAACATCAGTTATACCGGTTCATTATTCAAATTACAGTGCATCTTCATTATCCCCTATACAGTGGTCAAACATGTCTTATTACTCCTCTACAGTGCCATCAGTGGTTAAAGGTGCTGAATTCAATACTGTCAGCAGAGGGATTGCCTTTCCACGGCTCTCAACATAGCAATGGCTGAGCTGGCAGCTAACGAAGCTAACAGCCTGAACAGTGTAAACAACGGCAACAGTGCTGACGGAGCTGACGAATTAGCGCTTTGCAGAGTGGCAGCAATGAGCTCGCCAGTGGGGCACACTCACATGCACTAAAAGAAAGGTGCAGCCCAGCCGAGCAGTGTAAACAAAGCACAGAGAAGCTCTGATTACAACACACTTCATTCTCTGCTCAGGTCTATACTTTTACATCCGGTGGACCACCATGGGACCTTATTTTGAAAAATATATGCACGGTAGTCAATGGAGAGAAACAAATATCTTTTTGATCCTGTTTGAAGTGTGACATGTGGCGTTAGTCAATTTAAAAGGAACATTTTTCATTTTAAAAGCCAAATTTTGTCCTCAAAAGCTACGATGCTTGTGTGTTTCATACCAGGATGTACTTACACCAACAATGGGTTTTGCTCGTTCTTTTGCTTTCCAGGTGATAAAAACACATCAGGTAAGGAAACATTCTATTTGTGCGTGGAACATAGCTACGTTAGCTAGCTACCTAGCAGGCCAAGGTAACGGCCTTGATGATGACGCACATTGTGCAGGACAAGAGATGTAGTTTCACACTAAACTAAATGATACTACGACAAAACTATGACGAACTGCGACTTTCTTGACGTGCAAACATTTTTTTTTTATTGACAGCACTGTAATTCACAGCACTATTCAAACGGCATCAGAAAATGATTCGTCATTGTTCGTGGAATACTGCACATATTATTTTCCTAAATAAGGTCCCATGAGGGACACTAGAAGGGGCAGGACTTCACCTCTTTATATTTTTTTGCTATTATTTTAATGCTCTGAACGTATTCAGTAAGTTTAAATTCAGTCTATCAAATGCACTTGAGTACACTGTGTGTAACCTAGATGTTTACTGGCTGCTTATGCGCTAGATGTCTAGACAAATCAACAAAGCCACACTCATATGTAGGCCTAAGGGTACAGAACTCTGGTGAGGCAGGACGCAATACCGTTACATCTTCCCTATAGTCTATTCATGGGATTGTTCGCTATGCTAGTGGCTAAGAATGTCAATGTCATGCGGTCTACCACTTTGGTCCTGACTGGAGTACCTCAAAAAATATTGGATAGATTGCCATGAAATCTTGTACAGACATTCACGGTGCCCAGAGGATGAATCCCATTGACTTAAATGATCCTCTGACACCAATAGATGGAACATTTCCATTTACTCCATGAAAGATCTCAACATCTACCGGACTGATCGGCACATTTTCTGCAGAAATTCATGGCGCCCAAATGATTAATAACAACTTTGGTGATCCTCTGACTTTTTTGACAATTGTGGTTTTTAAGTGAAATATCAGCTCATCTATTAAATGTATTACCATCAGGTCAAAATTTAAATTTGTCCAATTCTTTGGTTTATGACCAAATACCTGTAGAACTAATTACATTCCCCTCAGCCTCAGCTTTACTTTGTGTTCATAGCTGTTCAGCTAAACTAAGATGATAAACATGGTATCAATATTATACCTACTGAACATCAGCCTGTTAGCATCACTAACAAGCTTAGCATGACTTTAGAGTTACATTTTTTTGATAGCTGAGCTAGAGTGGTGGACCTCACCCCTTCACGAAGTTGAATCCGTGCACACACACCAGGATGTTCCCGTATGCATCCACTTTGAGCAGGTTGCCATACATTGTGTCAAACACCAGACCTCTGAGAAGAATGGAGACAGGTGAGTGTCAGAGACAGAGAGCACACAGCACACCTGAGAGTGAGGATTTGTTGCACTGGTATTCAAACAAAAGAAGCAGGGCTAAGTGAACCAGCCTGGTGGGGAAGGAGGGGTCGTAGACAAAGTTGAGCAGCTCTTGTGGATAACCAATGGACACCAGACGCTCCACCGTCAAGTCGAAGCCCATCGACTCGTACTCAGGAGATTTATACACTGGACAGACAGAGAGGGAGACAGGCTTCTGATGAAAGCGGTGCACCAAAAAACACAGTGATCGCACAATAACGCCACACAGAGGGTTAGTTTGACAGAAATGTCTTCCATAAACATCTTCTCTCAAACAAATCGATCATTTACGACTGTCAGGTAAGTTTGGAACTGCAGTTGTAACCAGAGGTCGCGTTAACCGAACATTTTCCGTTAATGGCGGAATTTTTTTGACAATGACGGAAAAAAACTGAAGGCCGTCTGTCACTTTGACGGACTGGAGGCCTTGGAGCGTCTGTGACCACGACGAGCACCAGCGCCTATGCTGTGGGATTTCCTCCTGGTGAAGCGAGTGCTTGCAGGATCGGGTAATCCCACGTTCACAGAATCTGGTGAGTCCAGTCTCCCGTGGGACAGCAGAGCGTTCAGCCTTCAGAACAAAATAAAAACAGCCTTGAGAAGTCGTCTGTCGGAGTCAAATATGGAAAAACATAATTGATCTGCTCAGTCGGTGACGTTTCTCTCCATTCCCTTATAGATACACAATTTAGAAGCTTGTTCTGTATATTAATGATATAAAAACACCTGTGTCAGTTGAAAACTCAAATTCTATTACAAAATTCAAAACTAAAACTGTATGAACACCGGATCTATTATCATTACTCACGCTGACCGAACAGCTAGTGGACCGTGAGGACATTAGAATCACAGACTCCACCTTCACATATATCTTTAGCCTCCGTCTCATTATAACACAAATATTAAATGACAGACAACGAGAATGTTTAATGCAACCACTGGTTGTAACTGCAGACTCTTTAAAGCCAGACAGGGTGTTACATTCAAATACATGGTGGAGATTGTGGAGAAATGACTTTCATTCCTTAGCTCATAAATGCAGCTGACTCATGTATCAGATGTATCAAAGCTGTCCACAAGCACAGGCCACAAAACAGACCATATGGCTGTAACCCTTGCTCCAACCACAGTCCCCTCCTGTTATTGTGGTATCACATGTCTTGAATGCCTCCAGGTCAGAAGTATATCCTTACACACGGTTGGACAAGAGCAGCTTGGGTTACAGTGGGTGCTGCAATGAGACTGCCAGAGGACTGTGCCTGCCCTCAAGGACCCACTATTTTGTATTCAGGGCGCTTCAAGGATTGGTCTCTGCCATTGGGACAGAGTCAGACAAAGCCTGATTTTTATAAAGTGTTCAAATAATTGATAGCCGCAAAGAGCAAGAAGGACGATCCGATAAGGACAACGCGTACAGCGATACTCTGTTATAATAGTGTGTCGTATAAACACACATAAAGCTCAGGACAGACAGACGCAGTGCAACATAAATGAAATAAACATGGAACTCAGACTGCACTTACCTGCCAGAGTGTAATCCATATCAAAACCAAAACACTTGATCTTCTCCATGGCCAAGCTTCGGTTGACAAACACTCTGGAAGGGGAGAACAATGAGCGGTCAATCAATGCATGCCAGCTGGCTGTTTAAATGAAATGTGGCACTGCCACGGATTCCTACAGCAAACGTCTAATTCATGGTGAATAGTAGACAATCAGTCTGGTGGAACATTCTAGAGTTACAGGGGGAACATACTGAAGAGCAGCAACACTTTCTGCAGGTCAGATTTTGATGCATGGCAGACATAGTGAACTAGCATGAGTCACAACCACAACACCAACAGACATGCAACCCTACCTACTTGTAGTGACCAGTGCATCTGATGTAAAAACCTGTCAATAGCCTTCTGGTTCCCCTTCAAATGGGACTTCTGGAGACAGATTGAATTTCAAACACTTTTCTTAAAAGTGTAAGTTGTTAACAGGAAATGTAAGACAGCAAACAACATCAAATCGGAACTCAACATCAACTCATCAGCTGCTACACACACAGGCAACACTACTATCATCCCTGGTGTGTAGATTGTATGGGTCATATTCATAGCTATCTGTCAGTAGTTTTAGACCAGCGCAACAATCTTTCTCTGACGCTGCCACCACAATGCTGCACAATAAAAATCAACACAATAATGATTTGTAAATGGAAATATACACTCAGCTGCCACTGTATTAGGTACAGCTAACTGACTAAGTTCTGTTTGTTTTGAAACTGTTTCAAGGTGTTGATTCAACAGGCTGCTGTTGAACTGTATTGCATTATTCACCTTATGATGCTCCGACCATTTTTTATGGGTCAAACACAATTGTATTGGTTCTTCCAGTTTAGCGCTAGGAGCGTTGTAAAGAATGAATGATATCTGGGAACATTCCGCAGCTTCACTGCAGCAATCAGATGGTTTTACAGAACTACATCCATCACGGCAGTGACTGGAAGAACGACAGATGAAAACATTTTATGACTTTGTGGTGTTTTTTTGGTGTGGATGGCTCCGCTATAAGGAACTATAAAAGTAGTGAAGCAGACTGACAGAAGCACATGTGGACGGTGTTTCAGTGATTACTCTCACTGTCAGAGGGCTGGACGAAAGGTCCACAGAGAGAGTTTGCATAATTCATTAGTTCATCTAAAGACAGAATTAAACCAACCAGTTTACAACAGACTGTCCGTCTGTCTGCTAGTGCTCACCTGAGTGTGAGATTTGGTTTGAATCATAACACATTCCCACTGCAACTCGTTTAGCTACAGGACATAAGCATTAACCGAGGTAACAGTCCCATCCTCGTTGGACGAGCAACAGACTGTTCTTGTGCTCCCGAACACACTTGGATCCTGAAGGAGAGAAGGATAAGTTCTACCCAGCTCTCTTCCTATTCAAGTCCACATTCGCTGTTTTCCCTGCTGTCACACGAGGACCAGCTAGCCGCTTAATCCACGACACAGCACATTACAGTCCCCCGTCATCGTCTAGATGAAACTGATCCAAACACAAAGACGGAAGTGCACACGCGAAGTGATCTCAAGTAAGAGGCCTCTGTCTGGGCAGAGAGAGGTCAAAGTGTGTTATTGTAACCCTGTTTTTCTTGAAGATCATTTTACTGTTGATAACGTGTTATTGTGTACATTACAGGTACCGCTTGGCTTTGTTAGTGTTTAGATCAGCCCACCGCGGGTTAGTAAACTGGACTTTATCAGTTAAAGCTCCAGTGCCGCAGCTGCCGAAACAGAGTTCGCCAGTCGGGCTCCTGTGTGATAAAGTTACAGTTACTGTACTTCACTGCGGTGGTGAGGATCCTCTGTGCCTTGCTTTGAGAGTTTTCCCATTCTATCCTGACTAACACACACACACACACACACACACACACACACACACACACACACACA